TAAACGACATCGAAGACATGTTAAGAACATCAGGAGACAGAGAAAAAGGTCTATGGGCCACGCTACAAGCTGAGCTGAATTGGAAGTACTGCCACTTAGATGCTGTGAAGTCACTAAAAAGAGTCAGAAATAAGCGCGCTCATCCCGGGGAAAAGCTTACAGAGGAAGCTCTTAGGGTTTCTGTCCAAAAAATGACAGAAGAACACTTCTTTGAAGAAGGTAACAGTTGGCTGTCTATTGAAGTCGTCAACGAACTGATCACCATGTGGAATCAGTTAAGGGAGAAACACTAGTCTTCAATTTTGTAAGACTCTGTCAACCTGCACAAGCGTGTGATGTGGCCATATCTACAGGCTATAACCTAGATATATATAACAACTATACATGAAAAAATGTGAAACATTACCAATGTAATCTCAATCTTTTTGTAACAAATAGCCAAATTCACTGCTATGGTACCAGAAAGGACACAAACTATCGAACGCATTTGTGTCGTACAAGTCTGAAGCAATTCAAAATTTTTGAAGTCTCTTCCTGTTTCAGTCCCTCGTTCGTCAAATATTCGTAGCATTAAGACGAAAATACGATCGCTTTTACTTAAATAATCATTGAACTGGCCAAGCCGCACGTTCGCAGTACTAATTCGAATTCAAATACATTTTGTAAGTCAGGAGGCCTCTCCCATAAGCTCGGTGACTTCCTGAGTCACGCCTTCAATAAATTTTATTGCTGTAGAAAGTTTTTATTTGTATTGTTAATAAAGCAAAGAAATGATAATGGTTATAAATAAGAAACTGAATTAATCAAGATTTCCGACATTTCATGCACAAACCCTGAGGAGACAAAGTCTTGCTCGCTTTTACATATTTGAAAACAACAGCGTGCAAAGGAAGTTGTGTCCGATAGCCCGGAGCAAGTGGATTTTGCGATTGGGCTGGTGAATTCTAAGCGTGACTTGCCCGGGGGGCAAGTGAAGATTTTCGAAGAATTAAAATTACAGAAGTATTGTAAGACAAATGCTTTAAATTCCTAATAAATTCATGCGGAGCGAAAGTCGCTCCGACGAAGTGAAGTCTGCATAAACAAGACGTATCGCATTTCATGTCAGACGAGACATACTGAGTCCCGTGCATAAAGTAAAAGCAGATATTGAAAACTTTGGAGGTAATTGTCACCCGTGAATAATTCTTACTAATTCAGAGAAAGGTATTTGTCTAAATTTTGCTTCGTAATTATTTGTGAGGAACGTAAACAAAAGGTTTTGATCCTGAATTCCAGTGAGAAATTTATTGTGGTTCTAGCAAAAATTGGTCACGTGCGTTTCCATATGGTAAATTCTACGCACCGATACCGTAGGTGTTTGTTGATTAAAATATATAGACCACATCGTATTGTCTTCACTTTGAAAAATTATACAGTGTGGAAGCGCCAAGAGCAAAACAGCGCTTTTATTTCTGCTTGCGAAAAATTTTTTTCGGGCTAGTAAAAATGACTTTGGGCTGGCACATGTTAATTACAGCTTGCCCGAAGGGCAAGCTGTTAAACTGACTTTCTTTGCAGCCTGAAACAATGACATATTCAAACTTCAGATACTATTTCAGGAGATGAACGTTAAAAGCAGCTGGCGCGAAATTTTGATTTGCATGCCCTCTCATGTTTTAGAGAATAAAACAACATAAATAGGATGTATTTTCAGTCTGCCACTTTTGAACGTCTTCTTAATCTATTTGTGTTCTCATCACCTTCGTTTTCCTCGAAAATTGAATCAGCTTGCGCGCAGAATCACTTCAGCACTTTGATCAAAAATTAAACTTTTATTTAAAATTAAACTTTGAGGGCGCCCTGGGAGTGTTTTAATGAGCGACAGAACCGGTCGGAACATTCTCGGTGAAAAACTCTTGAGACATGTCTTCACGACCAACGCTGTGATATATTTTTGCATGTGTCATCGTATGTGGAATGTTGCGTGACAACAATCCAATGACAATTTAATATTGTCAACTTTACTCTTTCCTCAAAACAGAGGGTAATTATGTGTAACTCTGGCAAAAACTAGAAAAGCGTTGAAGCGTTTCATTATATTACGATGCATACATTATGAGCGCCAGAATTACATTAAAATGAACCTTTCGACAACCATAGCCATTGCTGAGTGTATCAAACCTTTCAGCCGTTAAAATGCGGCTGGTTCTCGCTTATTCTCCATACTACAAGGTTTGCAGTGACGCTGAATATTTCGAAGACAAATGCACGGTACATTCAACTGATGATTACCATACGAGATTGGGTATTGATCACAAGAAGTTTAACTCGAAAGGTATGCCACCTTCTTAACAAATTACTTAACAAATTAGTACTTAAACATAAGTTATGTATCATGGTTACTGATATAAAAGTAACCCAAACTCGATCAGAATGCAGAATTCCCTTTACCGATGTTGCATCAACAAGGGATGCTATTTGCACTTTAGATCATCTTCCACTGCAAACATTTCACCTTTTTATTAAGTCACTTGAATTTTAAACCTACCATCCACATCTCAAGGATGTTCAACAGCTTCACATGGACATGCAATTTGCTCATAAGTCTAGAGAATGTTTTCCGGCGAATAAACCTGGTTTAATAACTTAGCTGTCATATCAAACTCTTTCCCCAGTGCGACGAACATTTGTTTTTCTCGGTTCCAGGTGTACGCAACCACTAACCCTACGTAATGAGCATGCTCTCCGTTACGAATTTTCAAAATGGCGGACAAGCCAAAGAAAGAAAAAAACAAAGCGATTTTGCAATGAATACTCAACATAAACCCTCGTTAGAAAGGCGAATCCACGGAGGAAAGATACAAAACTGTATGATACTGAGATCGATATGATATTAAATCGATACCGAAAGCCCGTTTCCAACTTGCTAAGAAGCGCATTTAATTGCCTTCCGCCACGATCACTAGCTTTCTTGACAGCCTTCTGAAGACAGAATACTTTCTTTCTGAAGACTTCTAATGTGCGGCTATTGATTATTACACCTCGTATACCTGATTGCTCAAACACTTTGTTTACGATTGTTGAAAGGACCGACTCATGGTTCTCCGTCTTCGTCTTTACATTGCTTTGAAATAGTATAGATTAGTAAGCTGAAACGAAAAACTAATCAGGGATG